TATTTAAAAAGATCACTTTTAATTGTACTTCTTGGAATACCTTCATAATCTGGGTTATACAATTCCCGAATATACTGAATAAAACCAGGATGTGAAGGAAATGAAAAAGGCAAACCACAAACAGCAACCATTTTAGCTAATTTTCTACGATCTTTTTCTTTACTATATGTGCGGTGTGTGCTTCGGCTAGCCGGGTTAGTCATATTTAATTCACTTTGAACCATATTAGAACCTCCAGCTCCCATAGAATTTTCAGGTTGAGGTATTCCATTTCTATTAGCCCTTTCTATATCATCTAGGCGAGCAAATTCTTTATTACACTTTCTCAAATGTGTTCTTAGTCGTCCCGTTCCCCCTTGTGTACCCGTAGTTACATGTTTCATGATTAATTTACATTTCGTGCAAGTAACAGTAGTTTTTTCCTCATTTTGTACCAAAAATTTCCATACTAAAGATCTTTTAACACGTACAACGGTCTTTGAAAAAGTAGGTAAAGAGGGGACTTCATCTTGTTCCGGTAATTCGGTAGCCGGACTAGTAGGGGTAGGGGTCTCATCATCTTCCTCATTTATTTCTACTTCCTCATCTAATTCTTCCTCAAAATTAGTAAAACATCTATTTAAAGTTTCATGATCTACTTCATTTTCGGAATTAAATTCAATAGGTCGTGAGTCTTGTGTAAAAGAAGTTTCATCAACATGAGTATAATCATTAGTATTAATTCTAAATCTAGGAGGTGGCAAATTTTTAGAATTAGAACTACTTCCTCCTCCCCTATTATTTTTTCTTTTCGACATTGGTCTTTTACCACTATATTTTTCAAAATTCATATTCAAGTTTAAAATAATTAATATTATGAAAAACAAGCAAAGATAATATAACAAAAAAATAAATTAACTTAATTAATAAACAAATAAAAATTAAAGTTGGAACGAATGTACCGAACGTCTACGTAAAAGTAGACGTATAACCAAAGCCGGAATTGAGAGATGCCAATTGAAGCTTCCGATTTACTTCAAATAAATCTCCGAAATTCGAACTCCAAGTCAATATCACAAAATAATAATTATGAATTTATGAGAGATTGAAAATTAAGAGATTTTATAAGATAGTTTGTGAATTTGTGATTTAAATGAAAAAATATGAGTATATTTATAGTGTTAAGGGGTAGAGAGGGGTTGGGGGGCTGTTTGGAGCCGTTTTGGGCCCCAGCCCAACGGCTAAAAGGGCCCAACGGCTCCTTAACGTTAACATTTAAAAAAAAAAAAAAAAAATAATTAATTTGACCATTGAACCGGACCGGAACCGGTTCTTACCGGACCGGATCAACCGGATAAAAATCCGGGTTCCGTTTCGGTACCGGTTCCGGTACCTATAAGACCGGTTCCTTACCGGTTCAACCGGTACCGGTCTTACCGGTACGGGAACCGGACCGGAACCAGACCGGACCGGACAAAAACCGATCCGTTTGCCACTCTTAGTTTTAAGGAAGAATATTTTGGATTTTCCTTACCCCCACTAGGCCTAAACGTTTTCTCACCCAAATAGGGGTCTAACCTGATTAGGATAAGTTTTCATTCATTCCTAAACGCTTAGGGTTGAGAGAAGGGTTTCAATAGGAGAAAAAGAAGAAAGTTTCAAGCGTTCATTCAAGGTTTGAGGATTTTCACCAAGAACTTAGTTCTTTCGAGGTATGTAATTGTCTCATAGTGTTGGGTTTGTTCACCCACATGCAAAACATGTCATTCTTCCATGAATTCGTTCTTGAAATCGTTGTATTGAGATTCTTGACAAAGTTCTTGAGGTTTTAGCTTCATTCCTTAAGAATGGAGTCTTGTTGAGTTCTTGAGGTTAGGGTTTTGCAAATGTGTGATTATTCTTGATAGAATTTGAGTGTGCTTTCGATTATTTGTGTTGGGTTTATCAATCAATGTGAGTTTGGAAGAAACCAATCGATTCTAGACGAGTTAGAACCAAAAATTGAGAAGAAAATTCGTCAGATTTTCTGGGATCGGGGCTGGGACGACGCGCCACCATAGCGCCAACAGTGTGCCCCAAAGTACTTCTAGTACTTTGAGGCCTGGCGCGACGTGTCACTGATGCGCCAGGGGCGTTAAGCCCCTTTTTGTTGAAGGAAGTCTAAAGACTGATGGAACATGTCTAATGAACAGGTCCATTGATGCAGGCTGACAAATTAGAATTAGAGTCATAGTAAGACTAGACTACTAAATCCTAAATTATGTACGACTAAGCTACTGGATAGTGTAAGAGGTTAAAGTCGACTAGGATATCATGTGTAATATATTTGTGTTGTAGTAGAATTCCTAGTATAGCTAGAATAGGACTCTTCTCCTATATAATGTGCTTGTAACTCAACATTATTGATCATCAATACAATCCTTGATTTCTCCATACTTACGTGAGATTTTCTACATGGTATCAGAGCAATAAAGCTTTTTCGCTCTTTAACGTATTAGATCAAAACCAAAACAACCATAATATTGAACCGCAATAGCCCCTTTTACCAACACTCTTTCAACCTCTTCACTTCATCATCTTATTTCGTCCTGCTCCATTAAACTTAAGCCAACGAACTATCTTATATGGAGGACACAAATGTCTCAGTTGATTCAAGTGATGATATTAACCTACCTCATCACAGAACCACCTAAAGGTACCTGTTCCACTAAACAGACTACTGAGAAAGTTGTAGCAGGCGAGAAGGGTGAAGAAGACAACACCATTGTTGATGACTGAGAGGAGAAGGATGTGTTGCTAAGGAGTTGGATCTCAGGCACCATGACAGAAGAAAGCATGTACCTGATCGTAGGCTGCTCAACTGCCAAGGAGATATGGGAATGCTTGGAAGAAGCTTATCTTCAAACAACAAAAGATAAGGAGTTCCAACTCAAACAACAACTGCAAAGTGTGAAGCTATGAAACAAAACAATTGACTAATTTATTAAGAAATTCAAAGGCATATGTGATAGCCTTGCAGCCATTCACAAGCCTGTAGATGAAGATAAAAAAGTAATTAATTTTGCTAGAGGTCTAGGTCTCAAGTACAAGACCTTCAGGACTGTCATTCTAGGTAAGGCATCATATCCTACTCTTAATCAATTTGTGAATGCTCTCAGGGGTTTTGATATGAGGGAAGATGAAGAAAAAGTTTCCCAACAAAACCATAACATGATATTCTCTGCCTAAAGGGGCAGGATAAGAGGAAACTACTCTCAAAGAAAAGGAAACAATAACTTCAATTCCAGAGGAAGAGGCTTCAAGCCTGCTGGACAAGGAACATGTTCTTATAACATGAGAAACGGACCAGGTCCTCAGAACAGTACTTCGAGTGGAATTCATGAGAGGAACAATGTTGTTGTATGTCATATTTGTGGTAGGAATAACCATACTGCTCTTAAGTATTTTACAGGTGGGATTACTCTTACCAAGCCACAGATGAGCTACCACAAACATTAGCTGCTACTAATCTACAAAACACTACTGATGACACCTTGTATGTGGACTCAGGAGCAAGTAGTCATATGACACATAACTCAGGTATCCTAACTAATCTTAAATACTACAATGGACCAGATAAAATCATTATTGGGAATGGATCAAAGTTAGACATAATACATGTTGGGAACATATCCGGATCAGGTCTAAAGTTAAAAGAAGTTATTGTAGTTCCTAAGATTAATAAAAATTTACTCTCAGTTAGTAAGCTTGCAAAGGATAATTTTTGCACTTTTGAATTTGATGAAACTACCTTTGTTGTAAAGGACAAGAAGATAAGGACACTGTTGGCCAAGGGATCTAAAAGGAATGAACTCTATGCTTTGAAAGATAACAATCTATATGCTTTAACTACTGCACACGATTAGGACACCCTAGTTTGAAGTCTTTTAAGGTTTTGAGTAGTAATAGTTACATCAATATTAGTAGTTGGAATAAAATGCCTATTGTTTTGTTCTAGTTGTCAGTTGGGAAAGAGTTGTAAACTTCCATTTGGTTTGAGAAATAAAATTGAGAAAAAACCTTTATTGAAAATCCATTGTGACTTATGGGGACCTGCTCCTGTCGAATCTTCCCAACATATGAAATATTATGTCGTTTCTGTTTATGACTACACGAGATATACATGGATTTATCCACTGAAAAAGAAACTGAATTCTTTGAGGTCTTTCTAAAATTCCAGAAAATGGTGGAAAAACAATTTTCTAAATAGATTAAGATTTTTCAGTGTGATGGAGGTGGTGAGTTTATCCAAACAGACTTCATCAAGCATTTGGAAGATGGTGGCATTGTGAGACATATTTCATGTCCTAACACAACCGAACAAAATGGAGTTGCAGAGAGAAAACATAGGTATATTGTGGAGACTGGCTTAACTCTACTACTTCATATTAACCTACCTTTATTTCTATGTGTTGAGGCTTTTCTCACTGCAGTATTTCTCATCAATAGACTGTCTT